CCCCCCCCATTCCTCAAAGGATACAGGGCTGATTTTTTAAGTTTATGGAGTTATTTGTTGTTGTTTTTTAATCCAGCACAGGAAATGAAGTCGCTAAGAGAATCCGATTGAAAGGAAAATAGGAAAGGAACGTTGCTCAAAGGCAGGTTAAGTCGCGCAGGGTGACCTGGGCCATGCCGCTGGGCAGTCCTCCGAGCGAGCTGACGGTTTCACTCGGGGATTCTCAGCGGTCAAAGGGCCAAAGGAAACATGCTTGGCAACAAAGTGTGCAGAGGCCATGGGGCAGAGCCAGCGGTTACTCAGGAGATTCTACTTACCTGGCACCGAGACCTAGGCTGGAGGGAAATTCGGTCCCTATGAGCATGACACCCTGTGACTCTCCGGGCTGTGCCTTCGGCGGGTGAAATCCGCGTCGCTGAATGAGTATTGCTCGCTTGCAGTGACACTCGGTGCAAGGAGGTGTCAAACTCGGAGGCAGGACTCCGGGAAGGGCTGAGCCCATGGTTCTCTGGGATAAAATGTGCTCCGAAGGGAACACAGGCCGTATTTCAGGCAATTACCTGTGACTGCAATTCCTCACCCCTGAGTGTTTTTATAAGGATGAGAAATTAGCGAGTTCAAGATTGCGGTCCTGGCAGAGAACTTGGGGTGTAAACATGCCGGTGATGAAGGGCAGAGCCGGGGGCTTGGAGCAGGCCCTGGGAGGAAGCAGGTCCTCTGGCAGACAGGGAGGCAGCTCCTCAAGGCACGTGGCAGCCCGTGGCCCTCGTGTCTCTCCGGGAAGCGGGCAGGGGGAGTGCCTGTGGTCGGGAAGAGGGGGCGAAGCTGCCCCGCAAGGCCATTCTGTGTGCATCCCCCCGCCCTTGATGATGTTCAGAGAGCACAGATCCCATTGCCTCTCTGGGCTCCTTTTGCTCTTAAGCAAGTTATCCACCTTCCCTGTGCCTCAGTTTTCTCATCTGTAAAATGGGTCTTGTAACTGCCTTGGAGACTTGAAGATGAATTTTGGTTATGACATATAAAAAGATGTGTCATGGTGCCTGGTATATATGAAGGGCAAAAGAATTAGATGCTATTAATGCCAGTTCACGTCTCATCGTTTTCCACGTCCCGCTGGTCCTGGGACCTCTCACTGAAAGGCCCCTGTGTGGGGACGTCCCCACTGGCACAACCCCGGGGAAGGTTTTGCAGCCTCTGCAGCCATTAGGGTAATTGGGCCTGCCTCTCCCTCCCGCCCGTGTCCCGGCTGTCGGGCATCTGCTGCACTGGAGGTTTAGAAGTTGCTGATGGATGATTCTTGACCTGTCTCCTCCCTCTCCCAAAACAGCTGCCAGGATTCAGGCTGGGGAAGGCGGCGGGTCTCCTCTGCAGGACCGGGCTATTTATAGCTAATTGGGAAAACATCCATCACTGAGCATTCCCCTCGTAAATCAGAGTTAAACGTAGAAAAGCAAAAGCAAGCGGCAGGACGTGAGAGAAGCGATTTGGCCTGGCGCCTCCGTACACTCCGACTGGCCGGCCTGGCTGTGTTTGCAGGGTGGTGTTCTCTCCC